CCCCAAAACCCCAAAACCCCAAAACCCCAAAACCCCATAAAGTTAAATACATCTAAAAATGAGGAATGATTCGATAAATTCAAATTAATAAGTATTGAAATAAAATGTCAGATTACGGGGATGATCAATTTGAAAATGAGGATCATGATTAAACCTTGAATGAGAAGAAACACAAGATGAAAATCAGCATTGACTTTTTGTCGGTTAAAGATCTTAAGAATCCTATTAACATCTAAATATAATACTCATTGAAACTTTTGCAGCAAAGCCATACTTTCAAATCTGCAAAGCCAACAGCAGCAGGATAAAATTAAGAAGTTAAATTGCAACTCGCTTTTGCCTCTTATGAATTCTTTGCTAGCAAGACTGAACTTTTTAATACACTCAATAGTACACAACTTGTGGCTAAAATTACCCACAAAGATGGTAACACTAATGAAGTTGATTTTGGAGAAGTTGAAGTATTTCTAAGAGAGTTGCTTTAAGCTCCTATGAGATAAACTCCTAACTCAGTTGTGAGAGTCAGTGATTAGCAATTGCCCATCAAGGATTTCAATGGTTAAATAAAGGGAGTCCTAAGAAGTGTTCTATACTTAGAAGATCTTGGTGAGATTGTTGGTTAGATTCCACAGAAGCAATCAACTATTGGAAAGAGATAGTAGACAGGAATACCACAAGAAAATAAAAACCCAAATCAGGAAGGTGGCCTAGCAGGCTAAAATAATGATGTCTAAGCTGTTTACAACATAGAACTTTGGAAAAGAGCGGAGGAAGCTAAGTTTAAAGCTTACTTAAAGTAAAAGGAAATAGAAAGAATTGAGGAGATAACTTATACTTGGAAAAATAAAGAGGCAGATAGAGAGAGACAATTTGCTGATTCACTGGCTAAAGTTACAAATCTTGAAAATAAACTCAGGCAAAAAGCTCTAGATCTTCAAAGGAGGGAAGAGAAAATAGTATAGCTAGAAGAAGAATTAAAACATAAAATACAAGAAGTTACTAGATAATTGACTTTGAAGGAAGAAGAAATCATGAATGTAAAGAAGAGATTTAAAGAGGAAAAAGTATTGCTAGAACAAGATAAGAAAAGACTGGTAATACAGCTAGAGGAACATAAATCAAGACTAGAGCAAACAGAGGGAAAGTATTACTAGTTTAAGAAAGAGATTGATGAAAGTCCACTCACAGTTTTGAGGCAGGAACTCGGTTAAAAGAATTTAGAAATCATAGAAAAGGAAAGCTAATTAAAGCAAGCAAATGAATAAAAAGATGAATTCATGAGGAGATATGAATAGGTGAAGAAGGATATGATCAATCTTAAAAAGACACTAGATAAGGAAAAGTAGTAAACTCTGTAGAAACAGGGCGAGGAGCTCGAAAATTTGAAAACAATGATGAGAAATAAATAAGCTCAGGAAGATGAAAGAAGAGAAATAACTCTACTCAGAAGTCAACTTATGACTCTGCAAACTAGACTTTCAGATCCTAATAATAAGGTACCTTAGCAACTAACTTAAGGTGTTCCTGAAACGATTAATGATAGAGGCACTTACAATCCATTCTATCAAATGGGCACCTAATTGAAGTCATAACAATAAACAGTTGGATAGTAATCTAATATCTTCCTAGACAACTATGCTAGACAGTAATAGTCTCCAATGAAAGATATGCATTCCATGGGAATGCTTGGTAGTGGAGCAGCTGGTGTACCCTCAATAAATGGTATTTCAATGCCCTCGGAAGTTGAAAGGCTAATGCGAGAAAGAGATGATCTTCTTCGAAGTGGTTGCTACACCCCAAGTGATCCTCTCATAATGGAACTAGAGAGATAGATTAGAGTCAAATAGTTAGGAATCCAATGAGTACTCTCAGCCAACTTACTTTCTTAATCATCTTGAAAGGAGATAATTTGCCAATTATATATATTGCTCTTATAAATGAATAATTATAATTTAAGATTTAACTGAATTTAAATAGCATCCATCTATCAATATGAGATGAGGTTTTCTCACTTGAATTTGCAGCTCATTGGGCAGCTCCGAATGGTCTTCTGACTTCGAGGTAGTCGTTGATCTCTCCAGTCTTGGATTTGGTGGCGAGAGAGAAATTGGACTTGTTTCTATGCTCTCCCATAACTTGGCAATAGATGTCTGTGTAGTCATCGAAGGAAAGGGACTCTCCATCTTGAGTGTTCAAGAGGGATCTTCTCTCAGTAGCGACCTCATCTAAACGATCGCGAATGGCTCTGTTGTTATCTTGGTGCTCCTTGCTGTGGACATCTCTCAAGAATCTGTTGTACTCTTCGTAAGCGCTGAGTTACAATGGATGAGAGTTGTTTGCAAACATGGCGTAGTGACGGTCAGTTAAATCAGCTAAAGTTCTTCCCTATAGTCGGCCCTTTAAAAATAAAGTATCTTACAATATAGAAAGCATTCTCAATTGGAGACTTGTAGTACATAGGTCTGAAGAAATGCTCTTTAATAGTTAGAATCATTATTTATTCGTAGATTTTATCTCCCATGAGGAATTGCTTGGTGGCTCTTGAGATGTTTCTGTAGTTGTGAAGGATTCTCATGCTATTGTATCTGGTGATGTGGACTTGCATGGTGACGTATCTGCTAAGATCAGCATGAATCTTGGTCTTTTTAGCTGGGAAAACTCTAGGGTTCATAGCGGCAGCTGTATTGTTGAAGCCCTTGTTTCTGATTTTATAGACCATCTTTTATATCAATATTTATTATAATCTTTCCTTTCATGCTTTATATTTCATTCAAACATCTTGGGGTTTTGGGGTTTTGGGGTTTTGGGGTTTTGGGGTTTTGGGG